TTAAGAACAAGATTATTAGTGAGAAATAGTTGTCTAAATCACATTTTATATGAACTTAAGCCTAATGTCTGGAAAGTGATCCCTTGGACTCTTAAATATACAAATTATTTTATATTTGATTATACTTTCCTGTTGGGTGTTTAAGATCATACAGTTGGCTCAAATTAACCAATTTTTTTGTTTTATTGTGAGGGTCAGTTGAAGTTCTGATCCTCAGGGGTCACTCAGGCTTTGGGGGGAGCCCCTGGCTCCTTTGGCCTTTCTTTTACCAGTTTTGTCTATGTGAGGATAAGTCAGATGGTCCTACTCAACCGTGACTTCACTTGGAAGCATGGAGGAAAGTTTCTTCTGTGTTGACCCTTCTCTTTGTAGACTGGGCACTGGTCTAAGTCCTTCTAGTGGGGTTTCCATGACCTCCCTGAACAAGAGAACATGTGACTCATCACAGTTACAGGACATTTTGAGATTCCCCCATAGTTGTTTGGGACTTTAGTTGACTTTGGAGGGCAAGGAACAAAACTCCCTTTAAGGGGCTGGAGAGATGGCTCAGCGGTTAAGAACATTGACTGTTCTTGCAGAAGACCTGGGTTCAAATCTCAGCACCCAGGTGGCAGCTAACAACTGTCCGTAACCTCAGTTCCACGGGATCCAACAGCCTCTCTGTCCTCCTGGGGCATTGCATGACACGGGTCCACTTACCTACATGCAGGCAATACATGCATACACATAAAATAAAAATAATAAAATATTAAAAAAAAAAAACAAAAAACTGTCCCTTTAAGTCCTTTTTGACCAAATTAGTATAGGCCTTTAAGTATGTTTATTAAATATCCAAGAAGGTCAGGTATACCAGTCTGCTACCTTTAATTACTGTGTAATATGTAGGCAAAGCTTGAACAAAAACATTTTTTAACAAATTTTGACTATATTTTGAACCTTAAGTTCAAAATATATCTACATATTACTGTGTAATATGTAGATAGAGTAATATGTAGATAAAGCTTGAACAGAAAATTAAACATTTTTGTTTAAATCTTGACTATATATATATTTTGAACCTTAAGTTAGCCTTTATGAGGATTAAGTCTAGGTTTGACTGAACTAAGTCAGAGAAAGAAGAGATTTAACATTACAGGTTAGGTAGGCATGGCCCAGGAAAGGAACTTTAAATAATTTTCTTAGGTCTGTCTCAAATGAAGGCTATTTTACTACAAACAGAAGCAGTTTCTTTCCCAGCCCCTCTCCTCCAACCCTGATTTATAGTTTTTTAGAAGGAACAAGGAGGGTGTGTATGTCATATACCTATAGACAGGAATTAAGCTGATTAGGATTCAGACCAAGTTCACCAAAACTGTTTTTTTTCTTTTTTGGATTGCCCATCTGGTTCCGGGAGGCAAAACCTAGATCCTTTTGAGCCAAATTATTTTGTTATGGGTAAAAGAAAGTACCAAAAATGAAACTTGTATAATATAGAGAAACATAAAGGACATCTTAATTAGTTACAGGTAACCCCAATACTTGTCTGTATCCATGCAATCTATGACTGTAACTGGGTGTGTAGTGCAAGGCAGAGGAGTAGATAGAAAATTTTGGCTGTAACTGTAATTATTATAATAACAATCCTGTACCTCTATAAACCTGCTCAGACCGTCAATAAACTTGCTTAAACATTCTCATTTCCTCCATCCTGGAAATATTCAGTCATTTTAACTTTCTAACTTCCTAACCCTTTATTTTTTTCATTGATTCCCTGAGACATAACAACACTGAAAAACAAATCCATTATTTGTTGTGAGATATATATAGATAGAAGAACAATTTAAAATATTTTGTTATTTTTATTTTATGTGTATGAGTGTGTTGCCTGCATGTAGGTAAGTGCACCTGTGTCGTGCAATGCCCACGGAGGACAGAAGAGGCCATTGGATCCCCTGGAACTGGTGTTACGGACAGTTGTTAGCTGCTATGAAGGTGCTGGGATTCGGACCCAGGTCTTCTGTAAGAACAACCAGAGTTCTTAACTGCTGAGCCATCTCTCCAGCCCCAAACAATTACTTTAAACATACTAGTACAATGTATAAACTCTGAGATTTCCTTGCAAGCCCTGAAGCAGGTTTTAAAAAACCAAATTTTTAAATGTTTAGAGGATGTTTTATATAAGTTTGGCAAAGAAATGGACCTTGATAAACCTGTCTGTTGGCTTTAAAAAGGCAGTAGTGTAAAATATTTTATATAAAATGTATTTAAAAACATAGAGACAAATTGTACCCTGGAGTAGAAATTATTATTTAAAATTAACTTACATTTTGAAGTAATAGGAACCATTTTGTAGAACCAAAATTAAGATAAGGATTAAAGAGATAACATGTTGACCCGAGGGGCTAGAGAAATGGCTCAGCAGTTAAGAGCACTGGTTGTTCTTGCAGAAGACCCAGTTTCAAATCCCAGCAC